ATGAGGAAAGAATTTTAATTTTAAATTGTCATCATAGCCAGGTTCTCTACATTGGAGTATGAACCTGCCTACATGTTCTATGGTTGATTGTCTCGCTTCCCCTGTAAACAAAGTAAACTCAGGAATCCTATAATTTCTTGGAATGGGGGTTGTTTCTACCCATGGAGGGTAAGGACTCCTGAACATTGGCCTATCTGGCCTTCTTCGGCCTGGACCATACATTTCTTGTATGATGTTCATTGTTTGCTGCCTATTATTAATCCGAGGGCTAAGTATTGTTGTTGTTGTCCCCCTCCTTGAACTTTTGGTTAGAAGTAAGGAAAAGGGGGGCCAGCCCTCTAGGCCTTGGATGCATCATGTTGGGTTCATAATATAGTTGTTGCATGGCATGATCTCGTATATCCTGAGGCCTTACTTGATTAATTGGCCTATTTCTCTGTTCTGCCATAGCCTGATAACCTTCTATAGGCTCATCAAATGCACGATTTCCTTACATCTGTGGCCTTGGTTGCCCTAGGTCTTATTCCTATATCATTTAAGTTATGATTAAACACTGAATTTGCGGGGTATTCCCTCTCAAACACAGGATTTATAGTCATTCCCTCCCTATATTTTTCTTGGAGTGTGGGAGGTCTATAAAATAATATTGGTTCATTTACATTTGCTTGTTGTTGAGGGGCCACATGAGGTATGAATTGTGCTTTATTTACCCGAGTCTGCTCCCCAACCCTTCTTGATTGGCTGGGCTTGATGTTGGCTTTCTCAAACAAAGCCAGCAAGTAGTCTACCATCATTTGATTCCCATACGCAGACATGGAGCCAATAGCTTGCTGAGTGTGCAGTAGAAGAGCCCTTCTTGGATCAGTAGGAGGACAATTAGACTGGCCAGATTTGGCCATTTCCTTGGCCTACTTCCTGTCTGGCCACTAATGGCCATCACCTAGGTTGTTGTGCACTCCTTCAAGTCCACTATCCAACTATTCTCCATCTTTAACCATTTTCTCAAGGTCTTCAAAAATTTCATGTTGTTTCTTTCTAGCCATCACTAGGTCCCACTAGGCGTGCCAAAATATGTTAGCAAAAATCTAGTTTAGGTCAAATCGCCAGAGGAGATTCGACAAAATAACCAAAATTTCACACACAACAATAGATCAAGCAATTGTTGTTGGTGTCCTATGCCTTAAAAGTTTCAAGGATTTCTTTGGAGGTTGCAATGTGAAGAAATAAGTTTGGATAAACTGGAATTTGATTAAAGAACAAGTAAACTTGTCACTTAATTACAATAACTTAATTACAAGTTCAATGTACACAATAATCGACCAAGGAAAACTCGGTCACAGAGGCTGAACTACAAATAAAAATACTCCTAAGTTAAAAAAATAAATAAATAAATAAATAAAACTACTGCTATCTAAGTTAAATTACTCCTAATTTTACATGGGTTATGAATTTGGTTGAAGATCTTTATGCCTTCGAATTTCTAGCCTTTATGCTATTGGCCCTGCTACTTATCTGCTAACGCGTGTCCCACTATGGAGCAAATTACCTACACTTCTTGCATAACTACCCATGATCTCTATAACCACTGGTAACTACGTCTATGCTGCAGTTTCTACTTCTTCTTGCAAACGAACCGTATGCCCTACATCACTTACATGCCTAACTTCATGGCTTGACAACTGGGCCACGTTTGGCCACATCCCGTTACACTATTAGATGAATCAATAGAAGAAACTACTTTTGCCACTTCTACCTCTTTAACTGTTTCACTTCTGTCACTTGTTCTGCATTCTAGTACCCACATCCCACTATAAACTCATGGTCTTCACCCCTAGCATCCACTGGATCAACTCTCTGTATTTGTTATGTTTGTTTGACAAAGAAAATAAATTTTAGTGCTAACAATTCTAAATAATTTATCAAATTTTTTACTAAATCTCTCACATAAGTATATAACTCATACAAATCTACATGTATGTGAGTTTTATATCCATATAAAAGGTTTAGTAAAAATTTTAATAAATTATTTAAGCTCCTCAAATGAAAATGAAAAGGGTAAGAGAAGAGAGCGTGAGAAAAGAAAGAGCGAAAAGACAAAAAGGAGAGAAGAGAGAGAATGACAGCGGAGAAAGAAAAAGAAAATGTGAGTTTTAGGGACAGTGAGAGTGAGCACGTGAGAGACGATAGAAAGTTCCCTCTCTTTTGTAATTAAAGTTTGAGGTTTTAAACCATATTGCAATTCTAAAGCACTTCCAACACCGACCGATAAATAAGAATCCCAAATATAGAGGTGTGCGCGGGTTGGTTGCGGCCATGAAACCTCCAATCCACCATCCGTCCGCCAGATTGGCGGATTGGAGAAAACCAATCCGCATCTGTCCGCCAATCCAGCGGATGTGGATTGAGCGGATTGGCGGTTTGGCGGATGGATGCAAATCGGTTTGGCGGTTTAAAAATTTTATAAATTTTCAACATAATTTAACTTGTGCACTTCCTCAAAAAAAGAAGAAGAAAGTATTACAGTTAATGACTTAAAAAAATATTATAATCACTGCATGCCTCATCCAAAGCAAAAAAGTTTGAAACTTTAGAATATCACAATTACTGCATGCCTCATCCACATAAGGTATTACAATCTGTGGTTCTTAAAATATAAAAACAATTCAAACCACCAAAACCATGAATATAGTACTAGTAGAGATTGTATGTCTCTGTATTGTTACATCTATATCTGTTTTTTAAAACAAAAACCAACCAATATATATCATATTTTCTATTTATTATTTTTAGAGATAGATTTAAAAATCAAAAAATATAGATAAATAATACGTTTATTTTTTTCAATTTAAAAAAGATGTTCAAGTTGAAATTTTTTTTTCAACAGAATATTTAAACTCTTTTTTAATTGAAAACATAAACAGAATATTTAGACAAACTGAAAACACAAAGTCTTATAAATTAGGAGTGTTCGCGGTTTGGCAGTTCGATTGCGGCCAAATGAATCTCAAATCCGCTATCCGTCCGCCAGATTGGTGGATTGGACAAAATCAGTCGGCAACCGTCCGCTCGTCATCACACATCCGTCTAAAATGTGGTGGATTGGTTCGGTTCGGTCAATTTTGGTGGATCGGTATATCCACTGCTCACCCCTACCTAAATATCACTGGGGTATAATTGCCCTTAGATTTTACATCCAATCTTGGTTTCAATTTTTTAAATTCAATTTTTTTTAAATTGAATATTTTATTTTTGTATATTTTTTTATTTTTAGTGTATATTTTTTAAATTTTAAATAATTTTTAGTTTTTTAGATGCAGCTTACTTAAATGTATTTAAATAGTAAAATATTTTTGAAAATTAATAAATATAGAAAAATATTTAAAAAATGTACTAAATTTTTTACTTTTTTTGTATTTTTAGTATTTAATAAATATTTTAAATATTTTTTCACAAATATTACACTTTTTATGTCTATTTATGTTAGGTATATTTAAAAATTTTAAAAAAAAAATTACTTAAAATATTAAAAAAATTTAACAAAAATAAAAAAAATACAAAAACAAAAAAGTAAATTTTTTTAAAAAGTAAATTCTGAAAATAGAAACTAAAAAGAGTGTATTCTACTTTATTTACAAAACTTTTTAGTTGTTTTAGTCAGCTTTTCAGATTTCAAGTCAAATTGTAATTGAGCTTATTTGTATAATGTCATTTCGACAACAAACGAAGAACAATAGCATGATAGTAATAATTCTATGGTGAATTACAAATACTTTTCTTGAGGTTTATTGAAAATATAAAATGCATTCTGTAGTTCAAAAAATTATAAATACTTTTTTATTAGAAATTTTTTATTTATGAAATTCATAATTGCTCTCCTATATAATAATAAAATTACCTAAATTATTAATTGAAGCATATTTTTAACAGTATTAAAAACAGTTAGTTGACTTGCTGATTTATTAATAAAATGAGCGATTTGTTATGAAATTAGAAATCTCAGGAGATGAAATGTAATTTTCAAAATCATAAGAAGCGATTCGTATTTTAATCAAATCTCAGAGGGTGTATTTATAATTTACCCTAATTGTAATTATCACTTTTATATTTTTATTAAAATCTCACTTTAGTCTCTCTATAATAGTTTAGGCTTCGTTTGGGAATATGATTTTTTTAGTAACTTTTTGTCTTTTTGGCTAAAATATTATGTAAAAAAAATTAGTATATTTGGAATAAATTTTTAGTTTTTTACGTAAAGATGTGTAAAAAAATAGAGAAAAAAGTGAATATTTGACTTTTTAGTATAAGTTGTTAGTTTTTTAATTTTTTTAATAATTTTTTTACTTTTCAACTAAAAAGTGATGTTATCAAATGAGATCTTAGTTTCTCTAAAATGAGCGATTTGTTATGAAATTAGAAATCTCAGGAGATGAAATGTAATTTTCAAAATCATAAGAAGCGATTCGTATTTTAATCAAATCTCAGAGGGTGTATTTATAATTTACCCTAATTGTAATTATCACTTTTATATTTTTATTAAAATCTCACTTTAGTCTCTCTATAATAGTTTAGGCTTCGTTTGGGAATATGATTTTTTTAGTAACTTTTTGTCTTTTTGGCTAAAATATTATGTAAAAAAAATTAGTATATTTGGAATAAATTTTTAGTTTTTTACGTAAAGATGTGTAAAAAAATAGAGAAAAAAGTGAATATTTGACTTTTTAGTATAAATTATTAGCTTTTTAATTTTTTTAATAATTTTTTGACTTTTCAACTAAAAAGTGATGTTATCAAATGAGATCTTAGTATCTCTATAATTTGGCTAAAAGTTCACTTTAGTCCCTCCATCAATTTTCAGAACAATGTTATATAATTGGGCCCAACTGAAATATCTAGGGGGTGAGATTGAGTGTAAATTACCGAAGTACAAATTGTAATTTCTCCTTTTTTTTTATTATTATTATTATTATTATTATTATTATTATTTCAAAATTGGTACGGGCAAACATGTTGTTTAAGTGTGGGTTGTCATCACAGTTTGTTAGAAATTCAGTGCAATGGCTCTTAGCCTTGTATTTCCTATCTCTCCTTATAGTACTGCCACTCTACTATATCCAAGCTCTGCCTCACATTTAGCACCCATTCATGGCCGATCCCTGCGTGCCATTCGATGCATTGTTGTTGCTGATGGACCTTGCAATCAAAAGGTCATCAGACGATCCGCCAACTACCAACCTCCCATTTGGGACCATGACTATGTGCAGTCACTTACCAGTAAATATGTGGTATATGTAGTTACTATTGTTATATATACTTTGCTTGGTTAGTGGATGCAAATCAATGGTAATTGCTAACAAAAAATTATTTTTGTAGGGAGATGTATATGAAAAAAGGGCTGCAAAATTGAAGGAAGATGTGAAGATAATGCTTGAGAAAGTAGTGGATGAGGATCCATTGGATGCACTTGAGATGATTGATGACTTGCAAAGGCTTGGAGTGTTCTATCACTTCAAGGATAAGATAGAGAGAGTACTTGAGAGAATATACAACATGAATGACAAGTACAACAATGAGGATTTGCATGCTACAGCTCTCAAATTTAGGCTTTTGAGACAACATGGGTACAATGTCCCTCAAGGTACTTCAATGATTTCCTCACTCCATATAAGGGTTAATTACACTTAGCAACTCTTCACTTTCACCCTAATCTCACTTTAATTCATTCACTTTCAATTATAACTGTCAATTCTTTACACTTTAAGTCGAGTTGAAATGTCAACCCTTCCGTCCATCTACCGTTATTAAAGTTGATGAAAACTAAAAGTGAAGGGATCAAAGTGAGATTTTAGAGAAAGTATGAGGACCAAAATGAGATTTTGATGAAAATATAAGAGTTTTAATGTGACCAAAAAAAAAATGTCACGTTTAGAGCACATGACAAATTCTGTTAGCCTTATTAATGGTAGATAGGCAAAGGGATGACTTGCAAATTAACTTACAGTATATGAGGTTAATTGTCACAATTAAAAGTGAAAGCCAAAATGAGAGGATAGTGAAAATGTAGGGGTGCTAAGTGTAATTAACTCAAAATGCTTGAATAGGACATCCTGAAAGCAAGCCAAGCAACTTTGCTCCTGAATCCACCTCCCAGCTCTGTAAGGCCCTCCTAACTTCGAAGCCCATACTACACTTCCCTGATCCAAAGGCCAACACTCTTTAACAAAATGAGAACTCAAATACAAAAATATATATATATATATATATATCAAGAAAAATAGTGTGATCCAAATTTATTCTAATTGTGATTTGAACATGAATCACGCACTATTTTTCTCAATATATATATATTGTATTTGAGCTCATACTAATTAATAGTTTGCTTGAATTGCAGACGTTTTTAAAAAATTTACGAACGAGACGGGGAATTTGAGGTCTTGTCTTTGTGAGGATACAAAGGGACTACTGTATTTGTATGAAGCCTCATATCATTCAATTGATGGTGAAAGTTTATTAGATGAGGCCAGGGATTTCACAACTAGAAACCTCAAAGAAAACCTCAAGAAGAAGGATATTGATCAAAATCTCGCCATGCTAGTTAGACATTCCTTGGAGCTTCCCCTACATTGGAGGGTGCGAAGGCTAGAGGCAAGATGGTTCATTGATGTGTATGAGAGAAGACGAGATATGAATTCTATATTGCTTGAGCTTGCGCAATTAGATTTCAACATGGTGCAAGCAATTCACCAGCAAGAAGTAAAACAAATGTCAAGGTCAGAAATGTTCCCAATTTTCGTTATGTAGTAAGGGTGCAGCCACATAAGTCACCATATATATATGTATGTATGTTGTATTTCATATACCTTATGTAATGTTCTTTTCCTTGTTATGAATATAGGTGGTGGAGGAGTACATGTTTGGGAAAAAAGTTGAGCTTTGCTAGAGATAGGTTGATGGAGAGTTTTTTATGGCCTCTGGGAATGAATTTTGAGCCTCAATTTGGATACTTTAGGAGAATGTCCACGAAGGTCTGCACACTGATGACAATAATAGATGATGTCTATGATGTGTATGGTTCATTGGAGGAACTTGAACTATTTACCGATGCCGTTGAGAGGTTGGTTGATGGGAAAATGGTTGTGTCAATATCATCTGCATTAATTTGCATGCTTCTTAGCTATATATCTTTAACATGAAAATACTTCTTTTTTCTTTTTAACTTTTAGGTGGGATATCAGTGCAATGGAACAACTTCCAGACTATATGAAGATATGCTTCCTCGCTTTATTCAACTCTACTAATGAAATGGCATATGATGCACTTAAGGAACAAGGATTGCACATCATTTCACACCTAAAGAAAGTGGTATCATTTTCTTTATGAACTATTTTTTTTTTCCCCCCCAACTTCGCTGCAAATAAAAAAGGATAAATTATAAACACACCCTTTGAAATTTACTTAAATTATAAATTACTCCCTGTAATTTTAGAAATTACATTATGACCCCTAAAGTTTCTAATTTCATAACAAATAAATCATTTTATTAATAAATCATCCAATTTTATTAATAAATCATCAAGTTAATTAACAGTTTTTAATAATATTAAAATTTTATTTTAATTAATAATTCAGATAATTTTATTATTGTATAGGTAAACAGTTAAAATTTTCACTTTTTCAATTAATTCTATTAAATAAAAAAATTCTGACAGAAAAATATTTGTAATTTTCCATATCACAGGGAGTAATTCGTATTTTAAGCAAGCCTCAGGGAGTGTATTTGTAATTTATCCAATAAAAAATAAATAAATAAATTACAAAAAAAAAAAAAAATAGACACAAGGGAGGGTAGGTGGACTTCACAACACCCACCATTGTGTCTATTGGCTCACACACTCACCCTTTTGTCTTTTTTTATTTATTTTTTATTTTTTTTAAACTCTTTTCTTTTTTCTTTTTCTTTTTTAGATCATATTCAAAGTAAATTTAAATGTCCTTAATTTTTGTAGTTTCTTCGACTAATTGACCATTCTAAATGCTTTAGTGGGCAGATATTTGTAAATCTTATTTATTGGAGGCAAAGTGGTACTACAACAGATATACACCAACCTTTGAAGAATACATGAACAATGCGTGGATTTCGATTTCAGCTCCTCTTATGCTAGTGCATGCTTATTTTTTTGATTCTAAAACAGTAACAAAGGAGGCCTCGGAATGCTTATTAGAAAGTTACCCAAATATAATTCGCTGGTCATCAATTATTTTCCGACTTTCAGATGACTTAGGAACATCATCGGTAAGTGAGTTACACACCCATTGCATCTTCATAAAGAGGTTCGTTAGTGCTGTATGTTTGGATCCCGGGAAAGAATGGAAAGGGAGGGAAGAAGGATGAAGAATATCAATTCTCTTTAAAGCATTGTTCAACAATTTTCCTATGCTATTCAATAATTTTCCTTTCCTATTCAATTATTTTCAATATTCAAACAATGTTGAAGACAATTTCTTGGTTTAAGAATTAAACCGGGTTTGACCACATGTTAATCGTTCTCTTTGATTCAGGACGAGTTACGAAGAGGCGACGTTCCTAAATCAATCCAATGCTATATGCATGAAACTGGTGCCCCTGAAAACGATGCCCGTGAACACATGAAATACTTGATTGGTGAGACATGGAAAAAGATGAATGAAGATGGAGCTGCAAATTGTCTCTTCACTAAGACTTTTATTGGGAATGCAATGAACCTTGCTAGGATGGCTCAGTGCATGTATCAGTATGGAGATGGGTATGGTGCTCCAGGCAATGAGACTGAATATCGTGCCTTGTCATTAGTAGTCAATCCTGTTCCCCTTATCTCGACAAGGGATAAAATACTCTTTTGAATAAATGATTACTTTTTATTTCCGATGTAACCAAAAATAATAATAATAAATGATTACTTTTATAAAAAAATATTTATGTCTTTTCAAAATGTAATGACTAGACGTGAGGAATGGGTGCAGAGATAGTCAGGAAGTTTGCCTATCCGATACTTGTTTTAGTCTCTGTTTGTGGTGACATAAATCTCTACCTACAACCTATGAATTCAGAATTCTCACAAGGTATACTCGGCATGAATTAGGCATTACTGAAACTTTTCCAGGAATATGTCAAAAAAGTATAAACTAATACTAATATTATCAACTAATCAAAGCGTCATCAATTCAATCCTTCATTTCAATTAAGTACTATGTTCTTTGGAAAAAATCATTCCGGCGTCAAAAACCAAAAAACCAATAACTAGAGCCTCAATTTAGGGCATCGCATAAAGGATTCCTATTTCATGGAAAGCATAAAAAACAAACTAGAAAATGAATGAATTCAAAGCTCTAGTTCCATCTAAAGTATTTCCAACCACTAGGCATATAATGTCTATTAGTTAAAGTAACTAATATAACTTAATTTTTTTAACTCAGAAGCCAATGACTAGAGCCTCAATTTAAGGCATTGCATGAAGGACTATTTTATGGAAAGCATAAAAAAGAAACTAGAAAATGAATGAATTCAAAGCTCTAGTTTGATCTAGAGCATTTCCAACCTACTAAGCATATAATGTCTATTAGTTAAAATACCTAATATAACTTAATTTTTTTCAAATCCAATTGACTAGGTATATGATCATTAGGCATTTCGATTTTAACTCACATTCACTAGCTAAACGTAGCTAAGACTAGGCAAAATCTATTTAACCCTTGTGATCATTTTCCTCCATATTTGTTGTTAATGTAGCATTTCATAAATTGAGTAATATTTGAATAAATAGTTAAAATAAAAAGTAAGGTTGAAGTGAAACATAAGAAAAATGAATTGGCAAAATAATATATATATATATAATAGGAACTTCTAAATAAGTAAAATGCTTAATAACATTGAAGATGCTCTAAGTAACCTTGGATATCCATGATAGTATCTTCCTTAATTTTTACTGTAACTGGGCCACAGAAGCAAATATCCCTCCTTGAAGTTTGTCTTCAATAGAACTTTTGTATTGTGTTACATTTTTTATGATTAGGGATGCAAATTCGGCCCAACCCGGTCCACAATTGGGCTTGGGTTTTGGTTTGGGCTGGGCAGGGCCGGGCCTAACTAATTTTTTTATCAAAATAGTTTGAAAATGACATTGGGCCTTGAGCGTACCGGGTCTCGGACGAGCCTTGAAACGGGCCGGTAGGTCAAGCCCCAAAACACAAGACCCAAGCTCAAAGTCATAGACTAAACTCGGGCCTGGCTAGGCCATTCCGGGCTGCGGACAGGCTATTGGTGGGCCACGGACCAATTTTACACCCCTACTTGTGATCTTTCCTCCCTTTTGAATTGTACTTTCTTCATGGTTGGAATTTTTATTTTTATTTTTGGGTATATGAATTCAATGTTCTTTGCAAGTCGGGTAAAATCCTCAGTCTTGTTTGTATTGTGCAAATATATCCAAACTAGCCCAGAGCTGATGGCTCTCTTGTATTGGTTTGAACTAACATTGGACATCCTAATCCTAGTGGCTTTTGGGAGCCAAGGAGCCAAGACTAGCAGAAATTATCATATAAATCCATAATACAACTTAATAATATGTCTAACTAACGGTGTTTTATAATTTACTCACATTATTCTTATTTTTGTGGACCATGTAAGCACAAGCAATAATTTACCCAAAATTACCATGTAAGCACATTATTTAAATTAAAACCTAACTATCAATTTTAACTTGTAGTGATAAAGATTAATCAACTACAATTAATAATAACAATGGCACAATAGTTAATATGAAAAACCCAATTAAAAAAAGAATAATGCTTGGGACTCCCTTTTGGGGGTCACCCCCTCACCCCCCCTTTGCCACGTGGCGGGTGGTGATTGGAGGAGCAGGAAAAAAAAAGAAAAAGAAAAAGAAAATGCAACCAATGAGAGAGAGAGGGGGTTAAAGGGGGTGGGAGGAAAAGAGGGGATGAATCATTGTTGTTAAAAAAAATCTCTAAACGGGAGAAAAAATAGAAGAAAAAAAAATCACGATGCCAATGCTCAATAAAAATCTACTATAATGAATCAAGGGTACAAGACATACATGGACTTACAACCACTCGCCTAGCTTTACCTATCTCCCATGTCTTGACGAAACTTCTACGAATGCAGCTTAACCCCATCAGCCTTCTTGATCTATAGGACACCATGAAGCTCCATCGATCATCAACCTCCGTTCCTGAATGACTCTGATTACCACACCGACGGCACATGACAGAACAATGCAATGCAATGATAATGAGGACATTTTTTATAACAAAAATCACTTAGAAAATTGTCATACAAAATATGAATCAATTTCAAAATATTTTTAGTAAAAGAAAATGGTTGTACTTGAAATGAATTATGAAGAGTTTATATAAAAATTTAGAATATCATATCCAAATAAGGAATTTTCTTAGTTTCACTTGAGTAGTAGACCTTTCCAGTGGCTGCCATTATATGTTACAAAATGTCCACTCAAGTGATGGATCGTCTGTTGATTGCCTAACGATTGCAGGCCACTGATGAAATCAGTCAAAAGGATTTGAATCACAATTGATCCGTGCAAGCGATCCATTGCTGCACATTGGGGGACTCAATTGCTTGACCAAAACCAATGAGGATTAAATACATTGATTTGAAACTTTCTCCAAAAACCTTTTGTTTAAAATAGACCTTTCCAAAATCCTTTTTCAAATACAATCCAACATGTATGCATAAATATACCTGAGCAAGTGACTGAGCAAAACTCGACTTGATTCCGATGTGATGACCCGACTGAGCGTGAACTTACAACCAACGACCCATACACAACTAAAGATCCTAAACTCCATTACTGTGTGATTTGTCACACAGAAATAGACAATCAATATAAAGAATTAAACAAAAGAAAAGAATCAATAAAACAAACAAAATGATTGATAGCCATTTGGTCCGAAACAGTTCTAAGATTTTCTGGTTTTTAAATTTTGAATTCATTTGTTGTATCTATAAACATGGGTTGTAATCTTACGCAGATTGTGTCTGTTCAAACCCTTTAAAATGGTTTCAACATAATCTAAAAGGTCTTGCAAAATAAAAATATCCAAGTAGTTCTGCTTTTTCAATATTCATTGAAAAACTCTCAATGGAAAAATAAGTACGAAATTTTCATTGAATTAGTTTTCTAATGAATATTAAAAAAGTATTTATGAGATATTTTCTCTAAAAACATTAATTATTCATTGGCACTAATAATAAAGGCTTAATCAGAATTTATTGTCCCAAAGCCCCCAATAATAAACGACATATAGTTGTTTTAATTACAAGAATAACTATGCCAGGGCGAAAAAACAAAAACAAAAAACCAGGGCAATGAATGAGCAAACCCCATTGCAGAGACACCCATGAATGAATGACCCAGCAGAGTGAATGCCGCCAGTTGAGTAAATGCCAGCAAAATTGTAGCTCACATATGTAACTTGCAGTGATG